AAAAAAAAAAAAAAAAAAAAAAAAGAAGTGAATAGCACACAAGTTCTATATGATGAAAATCAAACAAAAATTTAAATATGACTTATTCCAAATGTTACTGAATGTATAAACACTGAGTCAGAAAATGGAGCACACAGTAGGTTAATTGGCCACTTTCACAAAGATTTTACAGACACATTGTTTTGGAACATGGTCTCTCTCTAGCAAAAAGGAAATCACCACTTTCCAGCTATGAAGAGTAAGTGGTTTTTCAGCTATTACTTTGTACATGGTAATTTAGCTATAATTTATTTTAAGATCCTCTGGTAATTTCTAGACAATTTTCATCACAAACCATTTTTTTTATCAAATGGAATTCTATGAACTTTTTCAACTATTTCTTTCTCACTCATTATTGTAAATATTTTATATGCTTCTACCAATCACAAAGCTCTATTCCTTTACTGTTATTCTTATTACTCCTATCCCAAAGTAACTCTTCTAAGCTCAAGCTAACTTACAAGGATGTATTTTAGCCTCTACTTTGTAAAAAAAAGAGCTTTCATAGGTTACTACATTATGATTAAAGAGTCAAATCTTACGAGACCAAAATTGATCTGTTTTTCATGCTGGCATATTAGGTACACTTTCCATATTTTCTTTTACAATTTATAGGCAATGGATAAGTTCAAATACATTCTATCATTCAAACACAACTTAGACGTTTTACAGTAAAATGTTAATATACACAAGCTTGAGGAAACTACAGTAAGGATCCAAAAGAAGAAAAATTAGCCTTAGAAAAAAAAAATACTTACTTTTGAAAACAACCTTCATTTGCAAGAATACTTACCAATTCAGTGACAAGAGGACGGGCACTGCCTATGGAAGAAGCTAGCTGCCGCTGTTTTAAAATATGGAGGGTATTTTCCCTAAAAGAAAAAATACCAAAAAATTTTAAAGAGAAAATTTAAGTGGGCCCATTGAAAACAAAGCAAATCAAGTCAAAATTAGAAGAAAGATGACAAAACTGGAAAAAAATGCAAAATTATTTCAGAGAGTAGTAGTTTAACTAAAATGACTAATGATGTTGTACACTTTGATACGTCTTTACTGGCCATTCACCTATCTGCTCTTATGAGGGATCTGTTTGGCTTTGATCTTTTTGTCAGGTTACGTTTTTTTACTACTGAGTTGTAGTTGTTTACAAACTACAAGTTCTGCATGTTTCTACCAGCCTGTGGCTTGCTTTCCCTTTTCTTTTTTTGCAGTACTGCACACAGAACTCAGGACCTTGCGCTTCCGAGGCAGGCGCAGCACCTCTAAGCTACATCTCTAGCCCTCTCCCTTATTTTCTTAAGGGTGTCTTTTAATCAGAAGTTTTGGGGCTGGGGATGTAGCTCAGTGGTTCCACCGTCTGCTTTGCAAGGGCAAGGTCCTCAGTTTGATCCCGGGTACGGTGGGGGATCGGTTTTAATGTTTTTGTTTTTTGAGACAGGACCACACTATGTAGACAAGGCTGGCCTCAACTCTTGACCCTCCTGCCTCATCCTCCTGAGTGCTGGGATTATGGGCAAGTGCCACTACGCCTGGCACACAAGCTTTTAATTTTTATGAAGTCACTTCTCCCTCTCTTGATCATTGCTTTCTATAACCTAAGAAATATTTACCTCCAAAGTTACAAAAATATATTTTACACTGAGAACTGTGATCATCTTGGATGTCAGGTACAGTGTTAGGAAGCTGTCAAAGCTAATCTTTTTTCACACAGATAGTCTATTTCTGCAGCATATTGAAAAGACATTCCATTTCCCCACTGGATGGCTTTGATGCCTAGATGAGAACCAAATCATCATATAAATATGGGTATGTTTTAAGGTTCTTATTCTGAAATATTACATTTTTAAAAAAAGACTAGCTAGCTGGGAATTGTGGCAGATACCTTATAATTCCAGTACCCAAGAGGCTGAGGCAGGAGGATGGTAAGTTTGACACCAGCTTTAATTATATAGCAAGATCTGTCTCAATTAAAAGAAAAAAAGAAAAAAAGACAAGACAAGGCTAGCTCATGGAAAAACTTGCAACCAAGATCTGTCATTAAAGGTACAAGATCCCAATAATGAATGTAACTGTACTGTATACCTAAAATGTACCAATAAACTCAATGAGAAAAAAAAAACTTGCAAAAACATTACCAGGAAAATAAACTTAAAAAAAATTATTTTTCCCTGAAAATGAAAATTTCTTTCTCAGAAAAAGCTTAATCACTCTATACATACATGCTATTGAATTCGAAGGTGATCTGAAATTTTCCCAAGTGATACAAATAAGCTGTTCCTTTAACTTATATGTTTTTTGTTTGTTTGTTTGTTTTTACTTCAAGGTCCTACAATAATTTAAGGCAGCCAGTACTCAGGGCAAAAACAAAAAACTAGCAGTCTGAAACATGATAGAAGCGTCTTCTTGATGATCAAATTAAGATTATTTAAAAAGAGAAAAGTGGACTGGGGATTTAGCTCAGTGGTTCTGCTGCCTGCCTCTCAAGCACAAGGTCTCGAGTTTGATCCCTGGTACAAAAAAAAAAAGGGATAAAAAGAGAAAAGACTATTAAGATGACTGGACCACGTTGTTCTTTTTTTTTTTTCCCAAGGTTTCCCACACTATTTACAATAAAGTCCAAAATGCTGACAACAGCCGGCTTCTAAGTCATACACCATCGAGCTTTCTTCAGTCTGGTTCCCTACCGTTCTTCTCCTTGCTGGGTCCACATTGACCTCCTTATGCAAACACTTTAACTTTCCAAAGCCTTTGTGGCTTCTGTTCCTATTCAGAACATTTCCCTCAGATTTCTGCACAACTCACCTCCTCACTTTTTTTCCCTTTAATTTCTCTTGAACTCTTGAGTTCAAATGATCCCCCTGCCTCAGCCCCAGCAGCTGGGAATAGCCACGTGCCACCACACCCACCATTCTTTATTTCTTTGCGTTTTTTTGTTGTTGCTTTCTTTTTCTTTTTTGGTAGCAGGGATTTAACTTGGGACCTTGTGCTTGCAAGGCAGGCAGCAGCACCACTGAGCTAAGTCCCTGGCTTGTTTTTCATTTATGAGACAAGGTTTTGCTATGTGGCCCAGACTGGCCTCAAAATTGCTGCAATCCTCCTGCCTCAACTTCCTGAGTCCTGGGATCACAGATGTACACCACCAGGTCTGGCTTGTGTTGTGTTTTTTAAGGCAGTCTTGTTATGTTTCTCAGGCTGGCCTCAAAACTTGAAGTGATCCTCCTGCCTCAACATCCTGAGTGCTGGGATTATAGGCATGTGCCACCATGTCCAGTCTTTTTCTTTTCCTCATTGAGTTTATTGATTCTTTTTAGGTATACAGTACAGTTACACTCATCATTGGGATCTTGTACCTTTACAGAATGTGTCTTGGTTCTTTCTTTATCCCCATACTTCTGCCCTCCCTTCACCCCCTCTACACCTCCCTATATACAAAGACTTTGTTTCCATTTTTCATATTTTTTCTTTTCCCTTCTTTCCTTTCCCTTACCCTTCTCCCACTTCCCCTACTCCTTTAGCCCTTTTCTTCCTATTTCACATTATCAATTATATAATTTTATTTCTTAAAAGCCTTAGTGCTCGTAACTTCTTTAGAGGCATTCCTTGATCAGCTCTTCTAATTATAATGCACTCATTGTCATCTTCTACCATTAACTGTTTTTTCCCAATGCTCTTAATCTCAATTTATTTGCTATTTTTTAACACTGTAAATCCTACAAAGCGTTATCTGTTTTGCTCACAATTTGAACAAAGTAAAAACTGCATACATTTTTATTGAAAGACAAAAAAAAAATTAAGTGACTTCAAGTATAAAAGTGTAGTGTGACTTACCAATATACGGATTTTGCATAAAATTCAATATTATCAGAAAAATCCCCAATTTCTTCTTTGGCAATACTCTCTAACCAATCTACCACCATCTAGGGAAGAAAAAAAAAAAGTATAGCATTAACCATGAAATGTATGAGTGTTTACATGAGTTTGTGTGCGTGGGGGGGGTGTTTTGTTTTTGTGGTATGGAAGATTGAACCCGGGGGCCTCCATACTGAGCTACATCCTCAGCTCAATTTTAATTTTAATTTTGAGACAGAGTCTTGCCAAATTGCCCAGACTAAGGCTTGAACTTGCAGTACTCTTGCCTCAGCCTCTCAAGTAGCTGAAGTTACAGGCCTGAGTCACCCCATCCAGTTTTCAAACTTTGTGACTTAAAAATATTAAGCAAGAATTTTTCCAACCACCATTTTTATATTTTTAAGAAAATTAAATATTATGACAAAAGAATATACAGGATACATATATCTATCTATCTATCTATCTATCTATCTATCTATCTATCTATCTATCCATCTATCTATCCATCCATCCCCTGGGCTACCTGAAGCTACTAGGGCTGTCATTTAAAAATTAAAAAACAATTGGGAACCGGGCATGGTGGCGCACACCTGTAATCTCAGCACTCGGGAGGCTGAGGCAGGAGGATCTCTGTGAGTTCAAGACCAGCCTGCGCTACATAGTGAGTTCCAGGTCAGTCTCAACTACGTAGTGAGACCTTGTCTCAAAAAGGTCCTAAATTCGATCCCTGGTATTAAAAAAATAAAAATAAAAAAACAATTTTACAAATTTAAATTATAAAGTTTATAATTTTAACTACAAATAAATAGATCAAGTCAAAATAAAATTAAGAAAATGTTTTAAATTTTTAAAAAATTTAATACTTCATAACTCTTTTTTTTTTTTCTTTTTCTTTAAGACAGGGTCTTGCTATGTAGCCCAGGCTGACCTTAAACTTGCAGTAATCCTCCTGCTTGGCCTCAGGAATGCTAGGATTTCAGGAGTATGTTAATACACCTTTTCCATGATTGAAAAAAAAAACTTAAAAGTATTCTAGCCATACCTGACATTGTCGGACAAGGGACTCTCTCTGAAACAAAGCTTCCACAAATGTTTTTTCACTGGCACTAGCAGCCTGTTACAGAAATTATTTCAAAGAAGGGAGAAAAATAACATGTTCTAAGAATATTATTCAACAGAAAAATAAAAGCCAATCAGAAATAATCATTTATACATAAATGTTCAACCACATAATCTGTACATTTATTTCTAAAAAACATTTATAAATTTCAAACTTCAAGATTAGTGTGCAGTTGCTCTTATCTAACATTTTCATTTGTTACACTTGTAATTTAATATTCTATTGCCCACAGCTGATGTACTAAGGGACATAAACACAAAATTAAAAGATATTGTAATAAAGGGCTGGTTATACTTATATTACATATTAGAAATTGAAAATTAAGGAACTTTAACATATTTTCATGTAACACAACAGAAGCTGATAAGTACAACACAGAGCTTTTTTAAAGACTGTCTTTTAGTGACAACATGACAGAAATATTAACAAGTAATGCTAAGCAGTATACCAAAAAGGATGTATCACGACTACTTCAAGCATAGGCCAAATCTATTAATAATCTATTTTATTCATGGGTTAAAGGAGAAACATTTACATGAGCTATATTATATCTATTTTCCTGGTACTAAGGGTTGAACCCAGGGCCTGAGCTATATTTGTAGACATTTTAGAATTTTTATTTGGAGACAGGTCTCACTGAGTCACCCAGTTTGGGCTCAAACTTGCAAACCTCCTGCCTCAGCCTCCCAGAGGGCTAGGATTACAGATATGGGCCACGGTGCCCACCTAAATTGTGTGTGTGTGTGTGTGTGTGTGTGTTGCTGCACACAGAACCCAAAGCCTTGTGCATCCTAGACAAGCTCTATTTCTGATTTAGACCCCCAGACCTACATGAACTTTTTGGCTGATGTTAGAATATCACTTGATAAAAATACTTTCCCAATTTAAAATATTTCATTAATATAACTACCTGATTTAAAAATCTAGCCAATACTATAATTAAAGTGAAACACTTTCTTTAATGTCCAGAAGACTCAAAGAAGAATCCTTGTTACTACTAAACTTTATTTTAGAAAATGCTAACATAATAAAACCAGAAAAACAACTAAGTCATAAGTATGGAAAAAGAATCAGAATCATCACTATTTGTATATAATCAAAGTTCCTACCTAGCAAATTAAAGACAATGAATGAACTGTGGAACTATCAGGAAAGCTCAATAAATACCTAACTATAAGACAGGCTCTCTAGAAGTACAGGTTACTTAGTATTTGCGGAATACAGAGACTGGAAAGATATTAAAAGTATTTTTGGTAAAAAAACAAAACAAATAAAAAAACAAGCCGGGCGTGGTGGTGTACATCTGTAATTCCAGAACTCGGGAGGCTGAGGCAGGAGGATTGCTGTGAGTTCAAGACCAGCCTGGGCTACACAGTGAGTTCCAGGTCAGTCTCAACTACCTTGTCTTAAAACAAACAAACAAACAAACAAACAAAAAAAGAAACAGACTAACAGATATGGGTACTTGAAATTATTATAAATACAAATAATTGTTTTCTTTTTTTGACTGTATATAATTGCTTCAAACACAGATCACTTTTGAAATCAGAAAGTTAAAAAAAATTAATCCCCAGAAATGTACCTAGTCTTGATGGGATTTCTGAGTTAAAGTAACTCATGTAGCAGTCATTTTGAAGTGAATAAAAGAGAAACTAGTCATGTATAAATATGAACTTGGTATATGTGATGGTGACATTACAAATCAGTGAAAGAGGACCTGTTTGATAAATGGTGTTGGGCTAAATATTCATTTGAAAAAAAGTTAAATTTCTTGTTTATTTTACATTCCAGATGAATTTAATTATATAAAGTAAAATTTTTTGAAGTCAAATTTCTTGTTTTACCTTCCAGATGAATTTAATTATATAAAGAGTTAAATTTCTAAAAAAAAACTGAAAAATATTTCTTTTTATATTTTTTTTAGTTTAGCTTTTTATTTATTTATTTATTTTTTGCCTCAGTCTCCAGATTGCTGGGATTACAGATGTGCACCACCATGCCTGAGTGAAAAATATTTTTAACAGTAGGAAAGACTTTTCTTATAAGACACAAAGTAATGAATGCAAAAGGAAAACATGAGATATGAACAAAAGCAAAACAACAAAACAGGAAAATGAGGGCTGGGGATTTAGCTCAGTGGTTCCGCTGCCCGCCTTGCAAGCACAAGGTCCCAAGTTCGATCTCCAGTACCACAAAAAAAAGAAAAAAAAACAGGAAAATGATCCTTAAAGTTGAAAGACAACAGAAGGAAAATATTACTAATAGGTATAAGAGAAAGAATAAGAGCGCATAGGAAAATGAGAAAAGGCTATGAATACAAATTTATAAAAAATATAAATCAATTAAGAATGAAAAAATACTGCACCTCACTAGTGACCAAAGAAACACCTAATTTTCCTAATTAGGTAAATCACATGACTGTTAATATCCCATATCAAAGTAAACATTTTTAAATACTATGAGTCGTACACTGGTATGTAAAGTAGGCAATATGACAATCTCAAATTTTAGCCCAATCATTTAACTTCCAAAATACAGGAAATACCTGTATTATTGATTACTGTAGCAAAAATACTAGAAACAAATATCTAGCAGAATGCCTAAGATATGAAGGTACATGACACATTAAAAAAATAAAATAAACCTCCACGAACTGACATAGAAATTCATTTAGAAATACTAATGAAAAGAAAATTTAGTAAAACATATACATAAAATCATATTACTTGTTAAAAAGACACACTAGTTATATATGAATATATGTGTACGTATAGAGATGCACAGAAAATGTCTGGTAGTATATCAGCACATATCTAAGTGTTATAATGAATAGTGAGAGGAATAAAAAAGGACTTTTACCTTAATCTCTAATATAAATCAATATTTGATTACTATGTTTAAAATGCAGAAGCTCAAGATGGAGAGTTAAAAATTAAATCCATTACTAAAAATGTTTAATTTTATAAAGGAAAATATTAATATGAAACTTACAGGAGTTGTAAGCATATTTCCATTCTGTAATGAAGTCTGTATCCTGTCTCTGAGAAAACAGAATACAAAATGAAAAAGCCTTATATGAATGATGAGCTCACCTTTTAATCTACTCCATGTGCAAACCTGCATTCTGTCTAGTATAAATGAGTCTGCAATTCATTTGGTCACTGCACTTTAAACACAACTAGCAAATGCCTGCTGACACCTGAGCAAAACTCATATTCACCAAAAATACACACTGAAAAGTCTTTAATGGCTACCTGCTAAGGCGCACACTTTTTTCATAAAGTTTTCATATGGTTAACAATGAAACAATGATTTTCTTTTTTTCTCTTTCTATCTTTTTGTCTCATTTTGTTTTGTTTCCTGACACAGGATCTTGCTATGTAGCCCATGCTGGCTTAGAACTCACTAGCCCATGCTCTAGCCTTTATCTCAAGATACTCCTATTTTGCAATTTATGTATACAAGAAACTGGAGGCATTAAAAACATTTTATTGACTTTTTTTTTTTTAAGATCCTCCTGCCTCAGCCTCCCAAGTGCTGGGGCTACAGGCAAGTGCAGAGATTACAAGTATGTGCCACTGGGTCCAGCTTCAATATTTTCTTTTTGCATGAGAAAGCAATAGAATGAAAGCCAAACAACTGAGCAACTAAGAGAAAGTTTGATTAAATTCTTTCACGCTTCCATTACATAAAGTCATCCCTTCAGTTCACTTTCTTAATCTATCCTTCCTATGTATTGTTCTATTTTTAGTGTTTTCCTTAAAATCTTTATACATATCCAATTCTTGGAAGTTATCAGGCTTATGACCTGATAACCCCCTCTTTTGTTGTAACTTCTACCAACGAAAGCATTAGAAATGATCAGCCTTGGGCCAAGGACTTAGCTCAGTGGTGCCACTGCCTGCCTTGCAAGAGCAAGGACCTGAGTTCAATTTCCCATACCAAAAAACAAAAACAAAAAACCAAAAAAACACAGAAAGAAAAGATCAGATTCAAAACAGCAAAAACTATTTGCAAACACATCTTACTCTAACTTTTAATTTGCCTAGAGGTTTGCACCTTATGCTGATGTCACTTATAAGTTCTACATAACTACCTATACAAAGAAACCAGCAGCCTCCAGGTGACCATCTCCTGTTGAAGAAGCCAGAGCATACTGGCTGTTTTGGAAAATTTCTGCAGTCCAGGTGTCGCTCGGCTCACCATCTTACTCAGTATATTCACCTGAATGAGAAAGAGACAGCAAGAGGTGAACTTTCTGTACTTCTGAGTTACCAGAAACTTTGTGTTCTTTAGGTACACAGCACTAAAAGGGTACTGTCTGTAATATGTACACATACACATTATAAATTTTTCCTCCCTTCCTATTCTGTTTTTTAACTGAATGTAATGTAACTCACCCAGTAGAAATGACCCTAATTTGGAGCAAGGTGCATTGACATAGGTAAGTACATAAAAGTTTAACATACTTTAGATTTCAGATTCAACAATAGTAGTCACGGAACATTTTGTTTTTTCCTCACACAAGCGATTCAGGGCATAAGTATATCAAGCCTATATGACAAAACCATAACAGAGTAGTAATGACATTGTAAAAATACCTTAAAACTGTACTTCAAAGTTTTATACCATGTAATAAACCAAGATATTTTCTTAAGACTGGATACCAAAACATATTATTTCTAAACAAAACTTCACTGAAGTTTTCCTTTATTCCAGTTCAGTGGTCTTAATCCTTTTTGGGGACTAAAGCATGCATGAAAATCTAATGAAAGTTATAAATTGGTCCCCTGAAACACAAAAAAAATTGTTTGAAGAAAAAGTTTAAGGACCCAGGGTAAGAGAAGCATTTCTCAAAAGTTATGAATATAGAACCTCTTTACTTCTTTTTCCAAATTTTTATTTTTATTAGTGCATGTTTGCAGTACATAATGATTACGTCCACCCTGGGGAGCTGGTGCATGTACATCACACGTCTTTATTTTTTATACCCCTCCCCCTTGCTTCCTTCTCTCCACCTCTATCAGAGCCTCTTTACTTAATGAAGGAATTAAGAAACAGGATTGGTCTCATTCAGAACATAAAGATTTACAACAGGTTTTCTCTTCCTTTAAAAAAACTTTTGTTTTTTTTAATGAAGCTACTGCTTTATAATGGAATGATTCAGAGGATGATTACTGAAATAATATTAAATGCTCAAAAATGTGGGCTAGCTGGACATGGTGGTATATGCCTGTAATCCCAGTGCTTAGGAGGTTGAGGCAGGAGGATGGCTGTGAGTTTAAGACCAATCTGGGCTATATAATGAGACATTGTCTCAAAAACAAACAAACAAAAAACCCAAAATCTGGCTATTATTATTCCAATTACTCTTTATTTCTATTTTTTTGAGACTGGGGATAGAACTAAGGACCTTGCGCTTGCCAGGCAGTAGTGGAACCACTGAGCTACATCCCTGGCCTTGTTTTATTTTTTTGAGATAAGGTTTTCTGGGTTCCCCAGGCTCGCTTCAAATTCAAAATTTTCTTGAATCGCCTCCCAAGTAATTAGGATTATATGTGTACGCCATGCACCAAGCTGTAATTATTTTTAAATATAATAGTTTTTTTAAGCTCTTTTGCTTTAATAGATTTTATGTTTACAGCAGTTTCCAAATTCACAGTGAAACTGAATGGAAAATAGCCCTGTTCTCACGCATACATGGCCTCCCTTACTATCATCTTGCACTAGAATGCTACTTGATAATAATTAATGAGCCAACACTGGCATGTCATTATCACCCAAAGTTCAGGGTTGACATTAGGGTTCATACTGAATGGCACACAGTCCATGCATTCTCAAAATGTATACTGCTATGCATCCACGATCATACACACACACTGCAGTACACTGCTCTAAAAGTTCTCAGTGCTCTGCCCATCCATCCCTCTCTCCCCACTAACTGCCAGCAAACTGTTTACTACCTCCGTAGTTTTGCCTTTTCCAGAATGTAATGCGGTTGTAATCATACACTATATAGCTTTTTCAGATTGGTGTCTTTCATCAATAATATTCATTTGAGATTCTCTGTTGCTGGATATGGTGATACACACCTGCAATCCCAGCACTCGGGAGGCCAAGGGGAAGATCCCAAGTTTGAGGCCAGCCTGGATGATACTGTGCAACCATATCTCAAAATACAAAAAAAGATTCCTGTGTCTCTTCATGGCTTAATAGCTCATTTCTTCTTCACATTACAAATTTCATTTTCTAGATGAATTACAGTTTATTCATTCACCATCTGAAGGACATCTTGGTTGCTTCCAAATCTTTATGAATAGAGCTGCTATAAAACACCAGTACGCAGGCTTCGAAGCATGTGGACAAATTTTTAATTCACATGGCTATATGACAAAGATCACAACTGCTGATCATACAGTAAGGGCATGTTCAATTTTGTAAGACTCAGTCTTCCAAAGCAGCTGTAACATTTTGCATTCTCATCATCAGTGAATGAGACTTCCTACTGCTCCACATTTCCATCAGACTTTGGTAATACCATAGTATTTTGGAACTTTGCCATTCTAATTAAGTATGGGACAGTGTCTGGTGTGCAATTCCCTAATAATATTTGATGTACAACATTTTTTTCATATGCTTTTTTGCCATCTGCATACTGCCAGTGGGGTGTTCATTTCTCATCTTTTGCCCATTTTTTTTTCCTTTCTGGTTCAGTTGTTTGTTTTCTTACTGTTGAGTTTTACGAATTCTTTGTATATTTCAGGCTGTCTTATTTTTTAAGTAGTAGATTTCTTCCCCCCCCCCAAAGAGCTTCCTTCTATAGAAAGCAGAGGTGCTCTGGCTGGGCTTCCTTCTATAGAAAGCAGAGGTGCTCTGGCTGACCTCCCCACAACTCTTGCCCCTGTGCCTCAGACATCTCCCTTAAGCACAGTATGGAAATGAACAGGTTGATGCTGTTCAAAAACGAGAAGTATTGAAGGCTGACCATGATGAAATAAAATTAAGCTTACCTGACTGCTACAAATATTTTCATATTCTTCCACAAGGTCAAAAACTGTAGATAAAGAATGCTTCAAAAAAGATTGCAGGAAATCAGGAAACATGCTTGAGGATGCTAAAACACATGAAAAAGAACAGGAATAAAGAAAAGTTAAGTGATATACTTTAGGTAATTTGTTGGAAAACATATAACATAGCTAAACATCTTTTTTTCTTCACTGCTGTATTTTTCAAAATTTAACTAGTAAAATACACGACAAAAATTTGCTATGTAACCATTTTTAAGTATACAGTTCAGCGGCCTTACGTGTACTCACACTGCTGGGGTAGCACCACCAATGCCCATCCATAGATGGGTAACCTTTCCCTCCTCCACCCTGGCAGCCATCATTCTACTTTCTAGCTAAGTTAAGTTTGAGCTCCGTAAGCACCTCATTTAAGTGGAATCATACAGTATTTGTCTTTTTTGAGACTGTGTATTTCACTTAGCATAATATCCTCAAGGTTCATCCATCCTGTAGCATATACCAGTCTTTCCTTTCCAGCTAAATAATACCCCATTTTATGAGTATATCCATTTTGTTTCTCCACTTATCTATCAATGGGCACTTGGGTTGCTCCTACCTTTTGGCTATTAGGAATGTAGCTATGAATAAGGATATACAAATATATTGCTTTGAAATCCTGGTTATAATTCTTTTGGGTATACCCTTAAGTGGATTCATATATGACAATTTCACTATGATGATATTAAGAACATCTCATGCGCTCACTGGCCATATGTACATCTTCTTTGGAAAAATATCAGTTCAGGTCTTTTGGAATTTTTTAAATTGAGGTGATGTTTTGTTGCTGAGTTATAAGAGTTCTTTATGTATTTTAGATATGAACTCTTTATCAGATATATGACTTGCAGCCAGATGTGGTGGTGCATGCCTGTAATCCCAGCACTCAGGAGACTGAAACAGGAGGATCACTGCAAGTCTGAGGCCAGCCTGGGCTATACAGTAAGCTCAGGCCAGCCTGAACTACAAAATGAGACCCTGTCTCAAAAAAAACACCCTTCTGGGCTGGGGATTTAGCTCAGTGGCACTGTGCCTGCCTTGCAAGGGCAAGGTCCTGAGTTTTGATCCCAAGTACAGTAAACACACACACACACACACACACACACAGACACAAAAACCCACCCCTCCCCACAAAAGTATAGGGCTCTAGAATCAAAATGTTTAATTTGAAATCCTGGTGCAATCACTTCTTAGGTGGGTGATCTTAAACAAGTTAACCTCTTTGGGCATCCTTTTCCTGTATGTTCTTTGTTTTTTTCCTCTCTGTTTATCTCTGTCTCTCTCGTGTCAGGGTTTTGCTACTGTTGTCAAGGCTGGCCTCAAACTCATCATCCTCCCACCTCAGCCTCTGAGTAGCTAGCATTAGAGTGTACTACCACACCTGGCTCCTGTCCTCTAAAGTGGGAACAATTATTGTAACTCTTTAGTGGAGCATGGAAAGGACCACATGAGTTAATGCTTGTAAGTATACTGACTAGCACTTATCTGTGTTAGGTTATAATGCAGAACAAACACAATAACACATAGGTACACAGACAATAAAGCAAATGGTGCTTTCCATAGGAGAACGGTAATGACCAAACTAAAACTAGTGAGTCACAATATTATCTGGAAAAAAATAGTACTAGTGTCCAGGCCAAAACAAAACATATCAACAATGTCACATTAAAAACTAAACCTGAAGAAAAAGAGGTCTTTTAATGGCAAAGTAAGAATAAAAGCATAAGACTTGTCTAGTAATCTCACAGTCTATTTACACTGAAAGGTAAGATGGGCAAGAGGTTGCTCCAACTGATAACTAAGTTCTCAACCTTCTAAAGATGGCCATGACCACGACTACTTAGCACAATGAAAACTATATTACAGAGGGAAGACCAGGTAAAACACAGGAGGAAAATGGCTATTTGCAAGCCAAGGAGAAAGGCTGTTAAAACCACTAACCCTGCCCACACCTTTTCTTTTTCTTTCTTTCTTTTTTTTTTTTTTTTTTTTTTTTTTTTTTGGCTTTTTGAGCCTGGGTCTCATTACGCAGTTCAGACTGGGCTTGAATGGACTGTGTAGCCCAAGCTGGCCTTGAACTTGTGGGGATCCTCCTGGCTCAGCCTTCCAAGTGTTGCTATTACAGGCGTGCATTTCCATGCCTGACACCTGCTCATACCTTTATCTCAGACTTTTAGTATCAAAAATTTTGAAAAAATACATTTTTTTAAGCCACTCCTCCCAAAAGAAATAGATTTTATATGTTTATATTACAAATATATTTATTTACATCAATATATCAATATAAATAATATATAATATCTATTTATACATTACTATATATTAATGGTTTTCAGAAATGGCAGGAAATAGTTTCCTTCCTTAGTAAAAGAAAAGCTGCTCTGTCACAAAGCCCTCTTACCAGCTTCTCCCGGGTCATCTTCGCGTAACATAACCGCGCTGACATTTGCATCCTCTGTGAGGTTGTTGGGCTCTGTTTTTGTGAAGAGCCCTAAATGCCGTGTTGCAAACGCAGCTGCCCAATTACTGTCGTCCAGATTTGTTACCTTAACAATAAAAATCCCCAGAGAGGTGATGGAGTGACTGTCACTGAGTCAATAAATGCTTTATAGTAAACAAGATTTTTAAAAACGTCTAAAATAACTTTTTGTACGTTTTTAACTTTTGAAAGCCAATGGGTTATTTTAAGGAAATGATAGGTTTTTAAATAGTTTTCTTCTATGTACTGCTCCACACTTTTTTAAAAGCCAGTGAAAGTAACATTTTGTAAAATTTAAGCTGATATTAATAAATACAGTTTTCCCTCGGCTAGGGATTTAGCTCAGTGGTTCTGCCACCTGCCTTGCAAGCACAGGGACCCAAGTTTGATCCCTGGTACCAAAAAAACAAAAAATAAAGTTCTACCTGTAGGTTAATCTCAATTTTTCACTTTTGGGGAACTGTACAAGACAGATGACCCAGTTTCTTCAACAAACAAATGGTAATAAAGGAATGAGAGAAGACCAGCCTGGACTACATAGCAAGACTCTGTCTAAAAAAAACAAAACAAGCCCCAACAAAACAACAAAAAACACCAAACACAACAACTTAAAAAAAAAATAAGCTGACAAAATAGGAACCCTGAACCCTTAATGAGATACATAATAAATATAATCATGTACCAAGGACATTTTGGTCAGCAACAGACAGCACACAAATGACAATGGTATCACAAGATTAGTAACATTGTAGCCACTTTAGTTTAACTATACTCAATTATATTCATAGGACAAAAATCGCCCAATGATGCATT